AAGCCAGGGTTTGTTCACAAATAAAACTAAGGCAACTCTAACTCTATTGGCAGTTTTTGCATAGCTCCGTCTTCCTCCTCCCGTCGTTCTCCGCCAGAAGCCCACCCTCCTCCACCTCTCGTTGCCCCTTCCCAGGAATCCAATCTCCCCCATCCCCTCGCCCCACCTTCCCGCAAAGAAGTCCGCCCTGGATCCGCTTATGGCGGGGTTGCACGTAGGATGGAAACATTCATGTTAAATTTCAGCCTTCTCTAGCTTTCGTGGTTTCCGAAATAATTTTCCCGCCAAAACCTTCACGGAGCTGCACGTGACAGTCAAGCACACGGGAAAGTTAAACTTAAACCTTCCGGGTCGCACGTGAGCAAGGGACATTCCCACAAGATTTTAGCTCACTAGCTTTCGTTGCTCCCGAGATGACGGCTTTACCCGCCAAAACTATTACGGGGCCGCAACTGTCACCCGCGGACATGCGAAGGTTGAATTTAAATTTGCGGGGCCACACGTAGGTGGGGGAACGTTACCCTAAATTTTCAGCTTCCTAGCTTTTATGGTCCCCGAGTTGAACGCGTGGGACAAAATCACAGACACATATACACACACACACATATATTTACTCACACAGACAACTCCATGACAATATGCGTTTTGTACTGCTGCTACACAACACAGAATGCATAAAATAGTAAACTCAACCACAATGCTTTATTAACCAAGGCAGATGGCGGGACTGGTTTGCCGCGCCACTTTACCAGACGAAGCAACAACTTTTTGGTCAATCTATGGAAGAAGACTGCCTGTGATTTGAGACCGTGCGCTAAAAGTCCCCGAAGAAACAATTTATTAAAGTCAGTGTCAATCACTGTAAGATGCTACGGCACTCGCAAGCAGCACGAGTGGTGTAAGTAGCAAAAGCTGTCAGGGTAGTTCAGTGGCATCCTCTTCAAGCAATGCTTAAAAATAAACTGATCTGATCCCCACGGCACACACCGGTACCAATTTACCATCGAAACGAATGAACGAATCGCAGAGGCTGACCCAGCGAAACTCACCGGCGACAGCAACGCTACTGGCCAATGCATCAAATTCCGCCAATGTCAACTTACGAAATGTATACAGTTTGCAGCAGTCCATCTCAGACCACAGATCGGCACCGCTGATAGTGCGTCTCAACGACAGTGAGTTAGAAGCAGAAAGTCAATTACCATAAGTGGTGATTTTAACAGTTGGTAGACGGCTATCACTGGCTGGTACTTCTGATCGGGACTGCGTCAGCACATCTGCTTCATTCGTTGCTTTCAGCTTTTCCAACTGAAAAAAATTGGCCAACGCATGGGCTGCCCGTGCGAAGACGCGTTTTTTGCATGGTTCCCCGCAGTTTTTGTTGCTACCGGCACCGG